CCGGCGGCGGCGGCGGCGGCGGCGGCGGCGGCAGCGGAGCCCCCAGCCCGGGCCCCGATGAGTAACTCGCGCAACAACCGGGTGATGGTGGAAGGGGTCGGGGCGCGGGTGGTTCGCGGCCCGGACTGGAAGTGGGGGAAGCAGGACGGTGGCGAGGGCCATGTGGGCACTGTGCGGAGCTTCGAGAGTCCCGAAGAGGTGGTGGTGGTGTGGGACAACGGGACCGCCGCCAACTACCGCTGCTCCGGGGCCTACGACCTGCGCATCCTGGACAGCGCTCCCACCGGTAAGGCTGCAGGGCGGAAGGATCGTGGGGAATTGTAGGTGCAGTAGCGGGCGAACAAAAGCTTGCAGGAAAGACTCCCAACACCAGAGGAAATGATGGGCGCTCCATCATCGGGATGTCTCGAGCTGCCCGACACAAAGCCCGGGAATGCAGCAGACACAGTTGTACTCCTCCAGGGAAGGGGTGTGAGGGAACCAGACCCCATTGACATTAATCAGCCGCCAAGTGATAACTGTTTGAACCGAGGCTTGCATGGCCATATGGTGCTCAGTTGCTAAGGGGCGTGGGGGGGGGGTCTCAGATTTGTTGAGACAGCTTCTCCCCACCCCCACGCCTCCTGTGACATGAAATGACTTGAAGTTCAGTCGCTGAATGCTTTTTTGGGGCTCAGAAACGATTTTCATCTAAATATAAAACCTTTGTATCAAGAGGAAATGGTAGTCTGATCTCTTGAGCCACCAGTTAGGGTTACTTTTTCAAGGGAAGGCATGCATATGTGCTATTGGATGTTCTTTTTTGTTAGAAGCTCCTGTCATGTGCTGTGAGGTTCTGATCCATTCACCCATGGAATTAGTGTTTTTGATTCTCTACATTATAGGGGTTGGTTTGTTAATGACAGTAGTTTTAATATATGATAAATTGAAGATTTTTCATCAAAGTAAACATCTTATATTAATCTCATTCTCAGGTGGATTTATCCTCGATAATTGAAATCCAGTAGAAAATAATTCAGGTTTAAAATTGAATACTATTGAGAATTCTTTTGCGTTCTCTGTGCTGCTTGAAGACACTATAGTGGAGCTTGGGGAAGCCTAACAAATCATAAAGTGGGGTCATAGTTAATCGTAGCAGCAATAAAAAAGAAATGAATATAAGCGAACGCAACTTATGAACAGCTTTTTAAACCCCAAAAGGGATACATTTGCATGGTCACAAAAAAGTAAAAAAGCACAAAAGGGATCGGCATTGTTACCAGTTTCTTGTGTAATACTGCAAGCATAGATGTGAACATACTGGAAACAGAAGCCTGTCTGGTTTTGTCATGAAATAATAGCAACCATATATATATATAGTTATTTTCCTTTATTTCATTCTTATTTTACATATTGAGTATTGATTATTGTTCAGGGCTTCTTTTTATTGGTCATTGGCAGAATCAGTCTGCTAATTTTGGTTGTGGTTAATGTTATAGTTAGAAACAATATGCCCAGGTAGGATGCTGGCTGAACTGGAAGTAGAATTAATGTCTTCCTGATATGGATATGATTTTATACTTCTCTTTATGGGGAAGGATAAAATTATCTTCACTTTAAGTGTGCTATTTGTATTTTGCTAGGCAGACTCATGATGCTGTTATTTGTTGGTTATATGGATGTCTAAGCATGGTTAAAGGGGGCAAGTGGCACTGAACCCCTGAAAGCACAGCCCCTTTCCATTATCTGTGGGAGACAGAAGGTAGACCGACTGAGGAGGTGAGAACTCATGCTTTGGTTTCTATAAGGCAGTTCCAGTACCACCCTGCATTAGGATATGCCCTGGATTCCTGGACCTGTAACTGTGGCAGTAGTGGGGACTTTGGGCTCCTAGTCTCCTAAAGGATATACAGTCAAAAGCATTTGGAGACCACTGGCAAACTGTGTTCATTCAAAGGCCTTGAAATAGCATTAGGGACATGATGGTGCTGGAAATCTATGATGCATTTAATGAACGGCTAGATGGTAAGAATATTTATGTAGAGAGAAATGTGCCCTGTAGTACTTAGGTTATAATCTATTAATCTTTTCAGTAATTCTGACACATTCATTACTTAATCTCAAATATAGGGATGGGACCAATCTGAGGTGCTCAACAGTACTTCAGTGGCTTTGATGAGTTCCTCTACGACTCCACAAAATATGTGGAAGGGGAGACTGAAGGTGGGAACTACAGATCTTCATTTAGGGGGAAATAATAAAAGTATTAAAAAACTCTGGCATTAAAATTATAAGCCCAGTGTTGCGGGGATGACTCAGAGCTGGAGTTTTTGTTCATAAATGAAGTCCTAGGTTCAAGCCTCACCCACCAGTCTATTTTAATATTAGAGTATACCACAGTAAATATAAAACTCCTGGATAAACTGAACACAGACATGTAGAAATCCATTACTGATATATGGGATATAAAATGCAATGTTACATGTCTGACATCTCAGCTGCTTTTAGTTGAATTAGCTTACTTAACAAATCCACCTCAAATATTCTTATAACTCTTACTAGTGGCCATAGTTTACTCTAAAATCTTGGTTAAAAAGTCTATGTAGGGGCTGGAGAGATGGCTCAGTGGAAGAAGCACTTCTCTGGCAAGTGCAAGGGCCTGAGTTCAATCCCCAGTTCCGCCAATAAATAAATAAATAAAATAAAATAATTTTGGGGCCGGGGAGATGGTTCAGTGGAATAAGCGCTTCCTGGCAAGCGTAAGGCCCTGAGTTCAATTCCCAGTTCCGCAAAAAAAAAAAAAAAAAAAAAAGTCTATGTAGCAATCCAGTAATCAATTTAAGCGATTAACAAGGAAAGAAGGAAACTAAAGAATACCTGAAGACAGTTGGAAGAGCAGAAATACTTGAGTGCCCTTTTTGATTAGGAACAGTTGAGTAGCCCAGTAATCCTGGATAAGTTACTTAAGCAATACCAGGCCAGTCTTATTTAAAAGCGTGCAATAGCATATTTAAAAATTTCCAAGTGAAAACATTTTTAAACGCAAATGAGCTATTTCGCCTTTCTGTTCCGAGAAAATTCTGTTTAATCTCTGAAATTGTTGGGTTTGGCAGCACACATCTGTAATTCCGGCATTTGGGAGGCTGAAGCAGGAGGATCACTGTGAGTTGGAGCCCAGCCTCAGCTGGACCCTGAATCAAAAAGAAAAAACAAAACAAAAACAAAACAAAGCGAAACAAAAACCAAAAGAACACAAAACAGAACTCTAAAATTAACTACTTGACATTTGAGATTCATAATTGGTATTGTTAGTTTTACTTCGCTACACGAAATTTCAGTGGGTCCATTTACATGTCTTTCCTATTTGCTCCATTGGAGTTTCTCTCCAGCCTCGCAGAAAAGCAACAGTGTAAGCTAACAATGCATCCGTGGAAACTGTGGTTTTGAATCATACATACTATAGTGTCATGAAATAATAGCAACCAGCCAAGGTCGTATTTTGTCCGTAGCATCTGGATTTCATGGTGGGAAGGGGGAGTTATTAATGGGCAAAGTTTTTGCATAAAGATACCTCCAACAGGCTTTACCGGGGCTCCCAGCATTCAGCATCATTCTCTTTGCAAACGTTCGCAGTTTACACGTACAAAACTAAACGTCGCCTTTACGCTGCGCTAACGTCCGTCCTATTGCCGGCGCAGTTAAAACAGCAGATCGACAATACAAAGTCCCACATCAAGCTCAGTGGCGCTGGAAACGCTGCCCTTTAAGACCGAGCCCGGCGGCGCAGGCTCGCAAGCGGATGGGCCGCCGCTGCTCACTTCCTTTGCCCCACCTTCACGCAGGCCCCGCCCATTCCTACCCAGCCAATGGGGCACGGCGTACCAGCTGGAGGCCCCTCCAGAGACCCGCCCCATCGTCTCCTCAGGCGGGGGTAGGGTTACGGGACCGCGCAGGCGCACTCCCTCGCGCTGTGGGGCGACGCTTAGGGATCGGTTTCCTTCTCCTTTCTTTCCCAGTCCCGCGACTCTCCCAAACCCTGCCCTCCCCTGTCCTGCTGAGGTGTCCCTTCCCCGCTTCGGGTCTCAGTCTCTTAGAGAAGGTGCCGCTCCGGCCTTGGGTGCGGCAGTACCCGGATGTGGAGCCGCTCTCGCCCGGCGGGGACTCTGTGGCGGGGCGGAGCGCGGCGGCGTGCGCGGGGGCAGAGAGAAGGGGGTTCCTGGGCCCGGCGGCTCACCGGACGCCGACGCCGCGAGGAACTGCCGCTCCCCGCGGCTGAGGAGGCGGCGCCGGCGCTCGGGCGCCACCCCCGGAGCGAGGGACCGGGCGTGAGGAAGGGCCGGCCGCTGGGCTCGCCGCCCGCCGCGCGCTCCAGGCGAGCCTACCCCAGCTCTGTGCGCTCCCGGCCGGGGGAGAGCGAGGCTTGCTGGCGGCCGTCGCTGTAGCCCGGCCGGGGAGCCCGGAGGGAGCGAGGGAGCCCCGGGCCTCGGGCCCCGTCTCTGGGCGCCCTCGCTGTCACCTCCGAGCCGCCGCGCGCCGGCTGCCTCCGGCCCGAGTCGGGGGCGCGGCGGCTCCGGCC